GAGACAGCAACAGCAGCAGAGACGGCAGTAACTTCAGTTGTAACCCAAGAGACTGATTCTCGTGAATATCAAGTGGTCTCAACTAGATGACCTTCCTAACATACAACATACTCTATTATACATTTATGCAACAGGTGTAATAAGTTAGTGTTATAGTCACATGTTATTATAGTCACATGTTATTATAGTCACATGTTATAGTCACATGTTGAAGTGTAAACAAAACCAAGAATATTTCTTAGTTAATAGAGGTACTAAAGTATTGACTGGTTGTGTACTAGAGATGTATCGGATGTGCAAATATAGATATACTGGGATGTTCACGAGGATGTCTCTCTTATTTATTTTGCGGATGTATATGCGGATATCTGTTTACAGTAAAATGCGGATGGGGATGTAAGAAATTGTGTGGATGTTCCGCGGATGCGGATATCCGATACATCTCTATTGAGTACATGTAACAAGCAGTCTTAGTGACCCTTGTGTTGTGGAGAGGCTTCAAACCTGACAAACTAACCTAGTAGCACGGACGAGGCTTCCATCACTAGTGGAGAGGCTTCAAACCTGACAAACTAACCTAGTAGCACGGACGAGGCTTCCATCACTAGTGGAGAGGCTTCAAACCTGACAAACTAACCTAGTAGCACGGACGAGGCTTCAAACCTGACAAACTAACCTAGTAGCACGGACGAGGCTTCAGACCTGACAAACTAACCTAGTAGCACGGACGAGGCTTCAGACCTGACAAACTAACCTAGTAGCACGGACGAGGCTTCAGACCTGACAAACTAACCTAGTAGCACGGACGAGGCTTCAGACCTGATAAACTAACCTAGTAGCACGGACGAGGCTTCAGACCTGACAAACTAACCTAGTAGCACGGACGAGGCTTCAGACCTGACTAACCTAGTAGCACGGACGAGGCTTCAGACCTGACAAACTAACCTAGTAGCACGGACGAGGCTTCAGACCTGACAAACTAACCTATAGCACGGACGAGGCTTCAGACCTGACAAACTAACCTAGTAGCACGGACGAGGCTTCAGACCTGACAACTAACCTAGTAGCACGGACGAGGCTTCAGACCTGACAAATTAACCTAGTAGCACGGACGAGGCTTCAGACCTGACAAAATAACCTAGTAGCACGGACGAGGCTTCAGACCTGACAAAATAACCTAGTAGCACGGACGAGGCTTCAGACCTGACAAACTAACCTAGTAGCACGGACGAGGCTTCAGACCTGACAAATTAACCTAGTAGCACGGACGAGGCTTCAGACCTGACAAACTAACCTAGTAGCACGGACGAGGCTTCAGACCTGACAAACTAACCTAGTAGCACGGACGAGGCTTCAGACCTGACAAACTAACCTAGTAGCACGGACGAGGCTTCAGACCTGACAAACTAACCTAGTAGCACGGACGAGGCTTCAGACCTGACAAACTAACCTAGTAGCACGGACGAGGCTTCAGACCTGACAAACTAACCTAGTAGCACGGACGAGGCTTCAGACCTGACAAACTAACCTAGTAGCACGGACGAGGCTTCAGACCTGACAAACTAACCTAGTAGCACGGACGAGGCTTCAAACCTGACAAACTAACCTAGTAGCACGGACGAGGCTTCAGACCTGACAAACTAACTAGTAGCACGGACGAGGCTTCAGACCTGACAAATACCTAGTAGCACGGACGAGGCTTCAGACCTGACAAACTAACCTAGTAGCACGGACGAGGCTTCAGACCTGACAAACTAACTAGTAGCACGGACGAGGCTTCAGACCTGACAAACTAAACCTAGTAGCACGGACGAGGCTTCAGACCTGACAAACTAACCTAGTAGCACGGACGAGGCTTCAGACCTGACAAACTAACCTAGTAGCACGGACGAGGCTTCAGACCTGATAAACTAACCTAGTAGCACGGACGAGGCTTCAGACCTGACAAACTAACCTAGTAGCACGGACGAGGCTTCCATCACTAGTGATCAAACTTGCCTCGTCTTTATTAGCATGAAATGAATACAAATGTGTGTGTGTGTGTGTGTGTGTGTGTGTATACTCACCTAGTTGTACTCACCTCCAGTGTCGTCAGGTTGATTTCCCTTAACCTCTCCTCGTAGGACATACCTCTTAGCTCTGGGACTAGTCTTGTTGCAAACCTTTGCACTTTCTCTAGTTTCTTCACGTGCTTGGCTAGGTGTGGGTTCCAAACTGGTGCCGCATACTCCAATATGGGCCTAACATACACGGTGTACAGGGTCCTGAATGATTCCTTATTAAGATGTCGGAATGCTGTTCTGAGGTTTGCTAGGCGCCCATATGCTGCAGCAGTTATTTGGTTGATGTGCGCTTCAGGAGATGTGCCTGGTGTTATACTCACCCCAAGATCTTTTTCCTTGAGTGAGGTTTGTAGTCTCTGGCCCCCTAGACTGTACTCCGTCTGCGGTCTTCTTTGCCCTTCCCCAATCTTCATGACTTTGCACTTGGTGGGATTGAACTCCAGGAGCCAATTGCTGGACCAGGTCTGCAGCCTGTCCAGATCCCTTTGTAGTTCTGCCTGGTCTTCGATCGAGTGAATTCTTCTCATCAACTTCACGTCATCTGCAAACAGGGACTGTGTGTGTGTGTGTGTGTGTGTGTGTGTGTGTGTGTGTGTGTGTGTATGTGTGTGTGCGTGCGTCCGTTTGTCCGTCCGTCATGGAGACGCAGGTGGAACGAGAAATTGCTCTGGTTTTTCCTTTCTTCCTTCACATTCACACCTCCCATGTCTTCTCTCATCTTCTCCTCGCCTCTCTCATCCCCCCTCCCCTCCCACCCCCAACCTCTCCATCACCCCCGTCCTTCATCCTACGTTCCTTCACATTACTCCCTGGCGCCGCAAAGACATCTACAAAGACGTGACAGAATGATGGTAAAACACTTGTAAGTTTTCCTTCTTTACCAGCAACAATACTCTCTCTCTCTCTCTCTCTCTCTCTCTCTCTCTCCTTATCTCATTAAGAAGAGCAGAGAGTGTGCTGTTTGATCTGAGAGGATGTGACAGCAACGTGAGACGTCAGGTAGCCTCAGTAAGCAATAATTAAGCACCATTGTGGAAGCAAAGATTGGAAAAGCAGATCAAAGATTGCAACGACCTGTGACTGCTGAGGGAGAAACCTCGCTAACTACCTCCTTGCTATGTGCTAACCAAGACTTCGCTTCTTCGCTAACACCCTCGTTAGTTGATGATAGCCTGGCTAGTAGCCCGAGATACCTCCACCTGCTACCCCTTAGATTACTGGAGATTCATGCAACCAATGCTACTCTTGCAACCAATGCTACTCCCGCAACCAATGCTACTCCCGCAACCAATGCTACTCCCACAACCAATGCTACTCCCACAACCAATGCTACTCCCGCAACCAATGCTACTCCCACAACCAATGCTACTCCCACAACCAATGCTACTCCCGCAACCAATGCTACTCCCGCAACCAATGCTACTCCCGCCACCTTCTCCCGTTTTATTCTAATTGTCCCGTTTGTTCTGAGTGTCCAGTTCGTTCAAAATTACTTAAACCAAAAAAATTCTCATTCTCTCTCTCTCTCTCTCTCTCTCTCTCTCTCTCTCTCTCTCTCTCTCTCTCTCTCTCTCTCTCTCTCTCTCTGACCACCTCCTAGCTATTAAGGGACTCAGGACAGCTCTGGCTTAACGACCCTTAACAAACAGCCTACGCTCACACCCTCAACAAACACACAGTGTATTTACACCCAGAAGTTTGTATGTGTGTATATATACACCCAGAGGTGTATATCGGCATATAGGATGTATATTTACTTGTACACACAGACGGGATGTTCCAGAGAAGGGACACACACACAAGAGGTCACAATTGGAAGTTGAAGACTCAGATGAATCAAAGGGATGTTAGGAAGTATGTCTTCAGTCATAGAGTAGTCAGGCCGTGGAATAGCCTAGAAAGTGACGTAGTGGAGGCGGGAACCATACATAGTTTTAAGGCGAGGTATGATAGATATTACAACCCAGGATTCCAAATGGCCTGTTATCCCGGGTGTAATGGGAGCAAAATAAACACAGCAGAAAAAGTTTAGACTTATATTATCCTTCACCAATTTAGAACAGCAATATGTACACTATGTACAGTGATAAGTATAGTGCACTCCACGGTAGGCAAGGCAGAAATAGAAGCCACAAGATAGCAGACCGCGCTTCAACCAGCTCTAGATGGGAATGACAAAGGCAGACAGGAGAGCGGTACCCACATAACCTCTGCGATTGCCAAAACCATCTTCTTATTGGCTAGAACCTGGTCACTAGTTGAACGACGGGGCCCCATCATCAACTCTTAGCAACCTGGTTCGCTGCTTGGGGGAGATAGCCTGTAAATGAGGGTGTGTACATGCGCCGAATAAAGGTTATGTACTCTTTGCATGCCACAATAGAGCTCATGGGGCAGGGAGAGAGAGGACCTAGTAGCAGTCAGCGAAGAGGCGGGGCCAGGAGCTGTGACTCGACCCCTGCAACCACAAATAGGTGAGTACAAATAGGTGAGTACACACACACACACACACACACACACACATAGCATGGCTGTGTGTGTGTGGGATGGGGGTGGATGCCGTGTGAAGGGCTTCTGATCTAAGGAATCAAAGTTGCCCTGTCCTCTCCTTCCTCGGATTGAACAAGGACCCTTCCACTTCCCTAAGGCGTTGTATGATCCCTACAGGTTTAGCGGTCCGCATAGACCGACCATATGATATTGTCTGTGTTCTTGTTAAGGGAAAGAGCTGTGACTCGACCCCTACAGCAAGTACGTGGTAAAGCCATTCATAATTTAGAAGGAACTCTAGACAACAGCACGGAACCTAATGAAGAACTTTGTCTGACTTTGTTGTGTTATCCTAGGTTCTCTACACATATGCTGCTATGTATGATAATCTATGTAACTGTATTTGTGATTACCTGAATAAACTTAATGACTTACTTACGTCAACAGATGGCGCTACCATGTACGGTCTCCCGCGCCAACCAGAGTACCGTACACACCTGGAGATCCCCGCTCATCAAGGTACGACACAGTGTATTCACTTTAAGTACGCTTGATTTTGCACGCAATATTCCTGTTAGTCCCCTCTCCCCATACACAGAATATATATACACCGAGAGGTGTATGTCACAGCGTTTAAACCCCCATACAAAGAATTCAAATCGGGCCATGAACACGGGAATCCCAACCTTAAGAGGCCCCTGAGTTGCCCTATCTTCTAATATGTTTATTTTTTCAATTATAATCGTCCTTGTGGATAATTACTGTCGCATTTGCTGTGTCTGTTTCGAAAGGTGAAGTCCAGGATCTTTACTTAACTCACGGTATAACTTAACAAATCTTTGATGACATTTGTGTTGTAGAGGTGTGAGCGAAGCTCATGCGATAGTAATTATGGACACGGTAGATTATAGTGGAAAAATAACACAGAAAACTGAGGAACTGACGTGCCCCTTAATGACCCTCGTGTAGTAGATAGGCTTTAATTCTAATGAACTTATTGCTCCTGTAGTTAGTATTTTCATCTTGTTCTCATTTCTCTTTAAATTTTCTTTCTCGGGTATCTCTCCCACAGGTGACGTTTTCGTCAGGTAACATTAGTGTTTTACAACACATGTCCCATCAGTGGTTAAGTACGTAAAGGTCAACCATCTATGTTTGACACGTGTTCAGAAAAATAATTATCACACATTGGTTTTATGAAGTTGAAAAAAATGGACCTCATGAGGGTCATTAAGTCTGCCTGTCACCTGTTCACCACCAGTCAAGAATATTTTAATACCTAGTAAATACCTAATAAACCATGTACAGGGGGGCGGGGGCAGGTAAGGGGGTGCTGAAATCCCCCAAAATTACATCAGCCTTCAAACGCCCCCGAATTTAAAATAATATTACTGCTTGAAGACAAACCTCCTTCTTCCCTCTTCCAGCCAGATGACAGAGTCCCTCTTAGCGTGTACACACTGGAGCTGCTCCATTGTATACATGCTAAGATGTACACCGCTCTTAAATGTAGAAGCACTTCTGTTATTAGTAAAGTAGCAGGTTTGTCTGACGTTATCTGGTTTGTGATTCATCATGCAGTATATCCTTTATGTGAGTGAGGAGTACAGCCTAGTTGAGGTATGCCACTTAGGTGCGCTGGTTACACTAAGACCTGTGTCAGCAGGAGGCACTGGTTCTGTCTCCTAACGAATAACTCAACACCAGCAACAAGTCAACATTTTAGCCACCTGTGTTGCACTGGATGTACTTCAATTAGGTACAGACTAAGTTGATTTTATTACCGTCTCGCTAAAATCACTGTCAACTACCGGCCAGATATGTGATGTATATTGCAAGGAGCATACCATCAAGGTATATACACAGACATATACACCGAGAAATGTTTATACAGACTGAGAAGTATGTATCTTTCTATATATCAACCCCGAGAAATGTGTATCTGTATATATCCACCGAGAAGCGTGTCTATTTGGACAAGTGGTACACTTCTACCCTTTGTATCTCTCTCCCTCACTCTTGCCCTTAACATGCATTGTTTAGTTACGCCCTTATCTGTGCCACTTCTTTTACTGGGTGATTTTGAGGGTCTCGCTGTGACTCGCAGAGCCAGTTGGTCTTCTCTTACTCCACTGCCTCTGCATATCTTGACCACCACTATTCTCCCGCCCCATCACTTATCCCCCGGACCTCAGGAAAATTTTCCATAATATGTATGTGAGGTGGTGGGCTGTTTTTATACAGTTAGTGTGAAACGAGCTACTTGAGATCGCTATCATTACCATCGTACTCTAGCTCGTTTCCAAGCTTACAAACAAGCGACAGTTCACGCATGGGTCGCTAGACAAACTTTCTGACATGCTTACGTGTCCACTGGTGTAAACACACTCCAGACCCTGCACCCCCTCTTATAACAGACTTTGAAGAAAGTGCCTCAGCGAGTAGGCACCACCTCGTCCGTATTTCTCAAATGCTACATTTATCCCCTTTCCTTTCTGTAGTCCAAACCCAAGTAGCAGTTCGCTAATTCTCCCACTAAACTTTACATCCCACACTGAAGAACCTTACAACGATCACCTTCCGCTCCACGAACTCCCATTGACACTTCGAGTTCTAACCAGCCGCAGCTGGGCTGGATAATACCCAGGTACATATTCTTCAAATCGTACAACTTACAGCCCAAGTGCAGCAGTTTTCTCCTGGGTCCCTAGACACACTCTTGTTTTTAATAATATACACACAGACTCAGCTGCTGGCTCCATCATTCACGATCTCTCTCTCTCTCTCTCTCTCTCTCTCTCTCTCTCTCTCTCTCTCTCTCTCTCTCTCTCTCTCTCTCTCTCTCTCTCTCTCTCTCTCTCCCACAGGGGATAACCTTTTTGACACTATTTTCCAGCATATTTTCAATAACTTGAAGGCCGCTAACAACAATGTTGGTCCCAGTTACAGCACAACAAATAGTTTTCCATCAGGCCGAAATTAAGTTACTGGTCATCGTACCAACACTGACACATGTGGGCAACCAAAGTCCTCACCTCCCGTGGGAGACTTAGGTCTCAGACACCCCCTAGACAGGGAGCCAAGGCCGGGCCACCATTTGGAAAAGGCCCGGGCCGGGAGAATACCGGAGAATCAAGAAGAAAGCCCTCACGACTACGGATCTTGCGCGCGCGCACACACACACACACACACACACACACACACACACACACACACACACACACACAAAAACCACACAAACCAAGAAGCATAGGGCCATAACTAGGGAAGGGACTGAAGGAACACTCCACGGGAAGGAACTAAAACACATCAGAGGATGTAATGGGAGTCACAGTGGGAGGTGGAAAGGGAGAGATCCGTGTTGTCTATGGGGAAAACGAAGCTAAAGGGGAAACTTATGATGAAAAAAGCAGAGAAAAAAGCGATTGAAGATATCATGAAGGTGATAGGCAAGGGGACATGACCCAGGTGGCAAATTTTCGGAGAAAATTTGGGTGGTTCACAAAGAAAAGGAATCGGCCTCTCAAAGTAATTTCAAGGCAGAATCAACCCGAACCATGATCCTGCAGGAGAAAGCACGGCTGAGAGGCAAGCAGGAGTTCCGGAGTGTGTACCTCGATCGAGACAAGAACACAGGACGAAAGGAAGACGATGAAGGAGAGAGTTCAAAAACGAAAGGAGAAATGGGAGGAAATGAAAAAGGAGAGCAGAATAACCCAGGATCAAATGGAAGGACAAGCACACCCCCCAGAAACACCTGCAGAAGGACTCCAGCCACGACACCCCCAAGGCAACTAAGCAATCCAAACCAACAATCACACAACCATTCCCACCCCCCGCACCACAGTTACAGTATTAGAACAGAAGTTGAAGGTTTGGTACACAAATTCAGATGGATTAACGAATAAACATGAGGAATGGCAAGAAAGAATCAATGAGAAGGCCCCAGACATCATAGCAGTTACAGAAACAAAACTCACGGAGACAATAACAGATGCAATCTTCCCACCAGGATACCAGATCATGAGGAAAGATAGAAGGGGCAGGGGGGGAGGTGGGGTTGCTCTGCTCGTAAAAAACAGATGGAAATTCGAGAAAATGGAAAGCATAGATGAGACGGGAGAAAGAGACTACATAGTAGGTACACTTCAGTCTGGGGAACACAAAGTGGTCATTGCAGTGATGTATAATCCACCACAGAACTGCAGGAGGCCAAGAGAGTAATATGAAGAGAGCAACAGAGCAATGGTGGACACACTTGCTGAGGTGGTAAGAAGAGCTCACTCCAGCAGAGCAAAGTTGCTGGTTATTAGGGATTTCAACCACAGGGAGATTGGGAAAACCTGGAGCCACATGGGGGTCCCGAAACATGGAGAGCCAAGATGTTGGACGTGGTGCTGGAAAACCTCATGCACCAACATGTTAAGGACACTACCAGAGTGAGAGGAGAGGATGAACCAGCAAGATTGGACCTTGTGTTCACCCTGGGCAGCTCAGACATTGAGGACATCAAGTATGAGAGTCCCCTAGGAGCTACCGACCACGTGGTTCTGTGCTTTGAATACATAGTAGAGCTGCAAGTGGAGAGAATAACAGGAGTTGAATGGGAAAAGCCTGACTATAAAAGAGGGGACTACATAGGGTTGAAGAACTTCCTGCGGGAGGTCCAGTGGGACAGAGAACTGGCAGGAAAGCAAGTACATGAAATGATGGAATATGTAACAACAAAATGCAAGGAGGCAGTGGAAAGGTTTATTCCCAAGGGCAACAGTAACAATGGGAAGACCAGAACGAGCCCCTGGTTTACCCGACGGTGTAAGGAGGCAAAAACAAAGTGCAATAGAGAATGGAAAAAGTACAGAAGGCAGAGAACACACGAAAATAGGGAGATCAGTCGCAGAGCCAGGAATGAGTACGCACAGGTAAGGAGGGAGGCCCAGCGACAGTATGAAAATGACATAGCATCGAGAATCAAGACTGAACCGAAACTGTTGTATAGCCACATCAGGAGGAAGACAACAGTCAAAGACCAGGTGATCAGATTAAGGACAGAAGGTGGAGAACTCACAAGAAATGATCAGGAGGTATGTGAGGAGCTGAACAGGAGATTTAAAGGAAGTTTTTACAGTAGAGACAGGAAGGGCTGTGGGAAGACAGCACAGAAGAGAACATCAAGAGGGAATATACCAACAAGTGTTGGATGACATACGAACAACTGAGGAGGAGGTGAAGAAGCTCCTAAGTGACCTTGACACCTCAAAGGCGATGGGACCGGACATCTCCCCATGGGTCCTTAGAGAAGGAGCAGAGATGCTGTGTGTGCCTCTAACCACAATCTTCAACACATCCCTTGAAACTGGGCAACTACCTGAGAAATGGAAGACAGCTAATGTAGTCCCCATATTTAAGAAAGGAAACAGAAACGAGGCGCTAAACTACAGACCTGTGTCTCTGACATGTATTGTGTGCAAAGTCATGGAGAAGATTATCAGGAAGAGAGTGGTCGAACACCTGGAAAG